ATTTAAAAAGTAAAACAACAAAATAGAGATAGAGTTTAATAAAGTAAATACATATAGCTAAAATATCATTTTGATTTGTAATTAATATAAAAATTACCAAAGAAATTTTTGCTCTTTGTGTGAATCTCCTGGTGTGCACATTGCACCCCCAGGCACTCCAGGTCTCTTACCACACTGCTGGCTTTCAGTAACCAGTGGCTGTCATCTTGGGCAGAACTGAGCTAGGACACAGTTGTATAGTGAAGCGTTTCCAGAATTCTAAATAATGGAGAAAATTTTGGAACCAAACTAAAAATTTATTTAACTTTCCTATCTTGATTTCCCTTTTTCTGAAGAGAGGTTGGATTAGGTGAACTCTGAAGTTTTCTTTCATTTTCATCATTACATGTGTCTAGAAAGATGAACTAATTGGGGTCGGGGAGATGGCTCAGTAGAATAAGCACTTTCCTGGCAAGTGCAAGGGCCTGAGTTCAATCCCAGGTTCTGCCAAAAAATAAATAAATAAATTAAATCACTATCCTATAGAATTTTTTTATAATTATGAACTACTCTATCACTGATCAGATTTAATTTCAGGATATTTATTTTGAACATAAACACTAGTAAGTACTAAAGCCGAGGTTCAAGCCAAGGTCTGTGAGACAGTGCTTATGTTTTCCCACTTCCTCTCAATCTCAGGAATTTTTAACATGTCAAGGAAAGAGATAAAAGTAATGACATTCAAACAGCACCTTCATTATTGAATATAATAGCCTGACACTGGTCACTATCATGAGGTAGGTAGTTTAATGATTTTATTTTCCTTATGATTTTTCTGAGCCACGGTGTTACTAATCTTAAAGTTTCCCTTTGACTTTCCTGGTAGTGTACAGTTAGCACAGTAAGAAAGTGGTTTAGGTGTAATACAAACATCCTGACCCTGTGGTTCTAAGGGCTTTGGCTATCAGCTTAAGAAGCATCAGTTCTCAAGAAATAATTTGTAGCAAGAAAAACAGAGTGGGTATTTTACCTAATGCCCTAGGTAAAAACTGTCTTCTAAAAGAGGAGGTTGCAAACTGATGACCTGTGTGCAGTATACAGGCCAAAAAGGTGTATTTTCCCTTTTTTGTCAAAGGAGTAAATACAAAATTGGGAGATTTTACAATGAATTATAGATCTTCAGTTTTTCTTGAAAAATGAAAAAGATAACTGGATGTGGCAGCTCATGCTATAATTCCAGCTGCTCAGAAAGATGAGACAGTGAGGCAAGGATGTCAAGCTTGAGGCTGCCCTGGGCAGCTTGAGCTCAGCAAGAGCCAGTCACAGAATAAAACATGAAATAAAGGGCTGAGCTTGCAGCCCAAGTGGTAAAGCCCTTGCCTAGAATATATAAGACCCTGGATTCAATCCCCTTACAAAGGAAAATGGAGAGAGGGCAAGGACCTATAACTGGACCCATATCCCTTCTGCAGTTGACAGATTGCTGCTTTCCTAAGATGGTGTATGAAGTATGTCCTTGCTCCTACCCAAACACACCTGATCACAGAGAAATTTCAAAGAAACTTCTTCAGTGAGCCAGTGAGATAGCTCAGTTGTCTGAAGTGCCTGCTTAGGCAAGTTCAGGTAAGTGCACAGGGACTGCAGTTCAGTCCTCAGCACCACATGCTGCACCAGCCCCACCCCCAGGGTGGGCCAAGCCAGCCACCAGAAAGAAAAGAAAAGAAAAGAAAGACAGACACTTCTGCAAAAACTTATAATCTTTAAAAACAAAAAAGTGGAAACTGGAGAGGAAATTATATACTAAATCAGCACCTCTGAGAGTAAACTTGACAAAAAGACAAGGAGATACGTACAAGGATGATTGCATAAAGGAAGTATTTACAGCTTGTAATGATTTAGTTACCATCAAAGGCCAGCATGCTAAAAATGATCAGGAAGCAAAGCCCACTCTTAGATTCAGAGGTAATAAAGACACATCAAGTGGTATCAAGACTGCAGTGTAGGAGGTCTTAGCCTGTTCTTAGATCAGACCCTGAGCCCACTGTAATAACCATAAAAATAACTTGAACTTCTCAACCATAACAAGCACAACTTTTTAATCTGACTCCTTTAAGTACTTGAAGATATTCAGCAAGTGATTTATCCTTTCCTCCATGGTTTGTTTTACATAAATTACTGAATTGTGAATTACTAGAATTTACATTTTTCTCCTTAGCTCAGGTCGTTGTTAGAAATTTTAGGAGTATATTGGCCTCTGGTTGGTGATCACACTTTTGATCTGGTTCACTCCTGTTTTCTTGTGTCAGACAGGCTGGCAGTACTAGACATTGCCTATGCCTTTGTACTCAGTCCCTTTCTTTGTCTTTTTTCTTCTGTAACCATCAACATTTACATAATCTATCTGTATCTTGTCATTGTGCTAGGATCAATAATGAATAGATTTTTGTTTCTTGTAATTTTTAAAGGAATAAGAAACCTATTTGAGAAGAATTGTCTTTTATAAGCAATGTATAATACTGGTTTGATTCTAGAGTTATAAAAATAGTTTTAGACTATTGAAGATCTCATTGAACGATCAGTTGTTTATATAAATAAAAAATGTCTTAGAAGCTGTGCTGCTAACAGGACAACTTGTTTAGGGCTGAGGGTATAGCTAGCTCAGTGGTCTATGCTAGTCTAGCCTTGCATTCTGTTCCCAGGATCGCAAGAGAAAAAAACATACCAGCTCGCTCACTTGCTCGTGTTCACTCGCTCGCTCTGTCTCTCACTCACTGTCTCACTTGCTTGTGCTCTTTCTGTCTCCCTCTTCCTTTTTCTTTTTATTTTTTTGCCTTTTTCCTAGCACAACCTTGAATACGATGTTGTAGTAAATTGAATTTGGTTATGTAGAGTGGACATGAGATGGATTGTAGCCCCAAATGTGCAGAGAGAGAAGTCAGCCCTCCTTGCCTCCTGGCTGTGTGACCTACCACTTAGTCCCTTCCTCATTCTGATTTTTGAAAGTGTTTGGGTCCTTTCCTAGCACTTCATTCTGAGATCAGGTTTTTAGCTTTTAATATGGTAAGAGCACTTAAGACACAACATGTATTTTTTAGCAAACATTTTCAATATATGATACATTATAGTTAACTATAGGTATAATGTTATACAAAAGATCTTTCAGATTTATTTTGCCTGACTGAAATTTTATACCTGTTGGTTAGGTATTTACTTCCCTGTTCCTGGAGTCCTCAGTAATGATTTAACTCTGGTTCTATGAATGTGACTATTTAGATACATCATATATAGGTAGTCCTGCAGTATCTTTGTGACTGGCATATTTCAGTCAGCAGAATGTCTTTAGGATTCATCAGTATTGTTATATGTTGTGAAATTTCCTGCTTTTTAAAAGGCCAAATTATTTTCCATTATATGTATGTGCCACATGTTCTTTATCCATTCATCTGTCAGCCTTCAATTAGTTGTTTCCTCATCTTGGTTACAGTGCTGCTGTGAACATGAAAGTGTTAATATCTCTTAAAGATTCTGATTTTATAGATAATACGAGAGATGACAAAAATAGGAAGTAAGCTTTTAGAGGTTGGGGATAGGATGAGGGGGTTAGCGGAGAGAAATATAATCATCCTATGTTATATGTATAGACCGGCATACCAAAGTGAATCTCGGGCTGGAGAGATGGCTCAGTGGTCTAAAGCACCTACTTAGAACAAGCTTAGCAAAGCACAGGGACCGCGGTTCAATCCCCAGCACCACATGCCAGCCAGCCCCACCCCCTGGTGGGCTGAGCTGGCCACACACACACACACACACACACACATAAATAAATAAAAATTTATTTTAAAAAAAGTGAATCTCATTCCATATTACTAATACACATCAATTAAAAAAGATTCTGATTGAAGTCCTTTTTGGCAAATGCCCATTAGTGGAATTGCTAGATGATGTGGTGGTTCTATTTTGATTTTTATTTTTTTTAAGAACCTCCATCCTGTTTCCATAATGACAGCGACATTTTGCATTCCTGTCAGCAGTGTGCAAGAGTTGAAAGTTCTCCAGATCCTCTCCAGTGCTTGTTTTTTGTTGTTTTGATGATCACTATTTTGACAGGTGTGAAATGACGCCTCAGTGTGGTTTTGATTTGCACTTTCCTGGTGTTGAACTGATGTTGAACATTTTTTTTTTTTTTTTTTTAAGATTTATTTATTTATTTATTATTTATTTATTTAGTGTGTGTGTGGCCAGCTCAGCCCACCAGGGGGCAGGGCTGGCTGGCATGTGGTGCTGGGGGATTGAACCAAGGTCCCTGTGTTTTGCTTAGCTTAGCTTGTTCTAAGTAGGTGCCTTAGACCACTGAGCCATCTCACCAGCCCCAATGTTGAACATTTTTACAAATACCTGTTGACCATTTTTATGCATCCTTTGGAAAAATACATATCCAAGTACTTAGCCCATTTCAAACTCAGTTACCACTTTTTACTATTGAGTTGTAGGCATTCCTTATTTGTGGAGGATTAACTCCCTTTTAGAGATACAATCTGAAAGTATTTCCTTCTATTCTCAAGGTTTCCTTTTTACCCTGTCAATTGTTTTGCTGTGTGGAAGCTTTTCAGTTTGTGAGATCATATTTTTTTTTGTGTCCTGATCATAAAAGCACATAATCATCTATAGGCTGAGCAAGTAATGTGGCAAGCATGGCTCTTGTCTATTACAGTAATGTTACTCTTTCAGCAATTACAGAGACTACTATCATCAGATTGTTTTATTTTGAATTTTTCTACTTCCACCTTTCTGGCCTTGAAAAAACCTGTCAGTTTTGATCAGTTATAGTTTAATTACAAAAATTAGGTCTTTATAGTATCACTTTGTTTGCTATGTCCTATATAATATATAACAAAAACGACATATAATGAGCATAAAATTTTCAAGTAGCTATTGTGTCTTGTTTTTATTTTATCACATCAGTGATTGACTTTTCTACTGTATAGAAAATGTGACCTAAATTTTGTCTTATGTTTCAACAGAAGGAGATTATATTAAAATGTTTATGCGAGGTCGGCCCATTACAATGTTCATTCCTTCTGATGTTGAAAACTATGATGACATCAGGACAGAACTGCCTCCCGAGAAGCTCAAACTGGAGTGGGTGTATCCTTTTCCACCATGATAACAAATTTATTGGCATTATCTCTAGTATAAGAAAAATTAGCTTGCCTGGTCTATTAAGGTTGTCCTTATACCCAAAAATAAGTATAATGAACATAATAACCACTTGAGAAATTCAAAACGAAATGTCATCTCTTAATTCATCCACATTGTGTGTATTTTACTTTTAGCAATTCAAGGACATCAAATTAATTGAGAAAGGGAAAGCAGTATTATAGTAGCTTGCAGCAGATTATGATGGTGTGTTAGAAAAGGCATGCTGTGGAACAGGAACACTTGTATTTGAGATGGTTTGGTTTGGGGTTTTGAGACAAGGTCTCGCTACGTAGTTCAGCCTGGCCTTGGACTCACTATGTAGCCCAGGCTGGCCTCGACCCTGGGGCAGGCCTCTTGCTTCAGCCTCCCAACTGCCTGTTATAGGAGTGTGCCACTCACATTTGACTCTGCCACTTACTCTGTGCACTTTGATCTTCTTTATTGATGAAAGGGATTAATAACCATGTCTCAAAAGGCTATTGTAAAAATTTAAGCATTTTGTAACCTATGGAACTCTGCATACTGTGGAACATTTTATCAACAGTGAATTAACTGTGTTTTGTTTTGTTTTGTTGAGGTACGAGGGATCAAACTCAAGACCTTGAGCTTGCCAGGCAGGCACTTTGGCCGCTAAGCTATCTCTCCAGCCCCAACACAGTTGATTTTAATTCCAAATTTCTACCCCACCAGTTGTTTTCTTTAAAATGACAATTTAAAACAGAGCTTTTCTCATTTTACGTAGAAATTCTGACATCTCTTAGAACCTCTAAGAAACTCAGCAGAAGTGCTAGTAGTATCAGTTGTGCTCTCTGCTTCCATTCTCCTACATCTCAGAGCCCTCAAATTCTTTTTGTTACAACTGCTTTTTTTTGCAGTACCGGGGATTGAATTCAGGACCTTGCACTTGCCAGGCAAGCGCTTATTCTACTGAGCTATCTCCCCGGCCCTACAACTGCTTTCTGTCTACCAAACCTTTCCTGACTACCTTCTGTACTCCCTAAACTCCCCTGAAAAAAATATTAGTTCAGTACCTTACATATTTTTAAGAACCTTGACTCTATCTTTCAAGATACGGTTATCGAGGGAAGGACTGTCGAGCTAATGTTTACCTTCTTCCTACGGGGGAGATCGTTTATTTCATCGCATCAGTAGTAGTGCTATTTAATTATGAAGAGAGAACACAGAGACACTACTTGGGTCATACAGACTGTGTGAAATGGTTGGTGTCACTTAACATTCGTCAGTTTTGTTCTTTACGCCCTCATTTTGTGTGGTTTTGAATTTTGATTGTATTAATAATTTCTTTTTTCTTTTTACATCCGCACCCTTTTTTTTTTTTACACGTATTAATAACTTCTTGTGGAAAGCTCAGAATATAAACATGGGTGCTATGTAAATATATTTTGGGGAAAAAAAAACCTTAAGACTCCTTAAAAATGGTCCATGTATCAACAGTAAAATGCACCTTGTAACGCTATTGAAATTTCTGCTTTCTCAGATCCCTTTTCCCTTCCCTTCAGGTCTATAGTGTGAAATACGTGTGGGACAGACTAGACTTTCACAGATTTCTGAGAGTAATGGTTGGTTACTTAATATTTATTGATGGTTTATTCTCTATTATATTATAGGTAAATTATAATCTGTGGTGCTTTTTTGTAGAAAGTAGTCATAGATGAATAGGATCATAATTTCAAACTAAAAATATGAGAATAATTTAAATATATAGGTGTATTTTTTTACTCTAAATTTTGTTGCTCTTTAGTTAAATTCAGTCACTTATTGCTTGGAATTTTTTTCCCATTTTAAGAGCTTTGCTTCTTTATGACTATTATTCTAACAACTATGTCTACAGAAAAAGTAACATGATTAGGATATTATGCAAGTATTGTTGATAATATTTTACTTTTTCTTGTATAATAGTATAGAAAATTATTACAATGTTGAGATAGTATGGGTTAGAACAAAGCTATCTTTTTTCAGTTGACTTGTGAGGTTGTGGTATAGGTTACCATGCAGTTGTAAAAAAGAATGAGGAAATACTATACATATAATATGAGAAAGCCTCTAAGATGCACTTCCAAGTACAAATATTAAAGAGCAGGAAAATATGCATATGTTTTAATACTTGTGTGAAAAAGAAGTAGAAGCCAGGTGTGGTGGCCCATACCTTGTAATCCCAGCTACTCAGGTCAAGAGTTTGAGCCAGCTTTGCACAACACAGTGAGACAGTGTCTCCAACCACAAAAAAAAAGAGAGAGAGAGAGATGGAAAATAAATATTTTTCTAGACTTCCACAAATGTGAAAGTTTTCTAGAATTATTAATATAAAGAGACTAGTTACAGCCAGGCATGGTGGCAAATCCCTATAATTACAACAGTTGGGAGGCTGAAGCAGAAAGATCCATGCAAGTTCAAGGCCAGCCTGGGCTACAAAATGCGTTTAAGGCCAGCCTGAACCACATAGCGAGACCTTGTCTCAAAAAGACCTAAAAATAAAAAGGAAAAGAAAATACGAAAAAAAGAAAGAAATTACTTACAGTGATTACCTGTGCAGGCCTTCGGTTGGCGATAGGAGCAAGACCTGCTGAATCTTTTGATATTTAAACCATGCAAATGTGCTACCTACCTAATCCAGAAATTTTATTTGAAAATTTGAGAGATCTGATTAAATGTCAAGATGTTTTGTTTTGTTTTTGTCTTTTTGAGACAGGGTCTTGCAATGCAGGTCTGGCTTTGAGCTCCCTTTGTAGCCCAGGCTGGCCTCAGACTCACAGCAGTCCACCTGCCTCAGCCTCTCAGGTGCTGAGATTATAGGTGTGCACCACATGCCTCGCTAAATATCAAGATGTTAATGTGTTTGATCTGTCTAGTTACTGTTAATGTAGATGACCTCAGCATAGAATATAAACTAAGAATTAAACATTCATAAATTTTAGTGTCCATAGTAATCAAACAAATGAAAACAAGATATCATTTATACAAATCAAATTACTGAAACATCTTAAAAGATGCAACCTAATGTAGGGAATCTGGAAACTTTGGGAACTGTTTTTATCATTAAAATTTAAATTCATACTGTTCTTCTAAAAATAATGAGTACATATGAAGAAGCAAAAACTTTATTTTCAGTTGAGTTTACACCTTCCTTACAAGATAAAAAGATTGTAGATGTGAACAGGATGACATTTTTGTAAAAAGAAATTTTTGCTTATCAATTGTATATATACCAGAATCAATTTGAGCACCTTTGTTATACTGTTTTCCACTTTTATTTATAAATATTTTCCCAAATATAACTTTAAACAGTTTAGTTTGAAGGATTAATTAAAAGGTTGATGCTGTTATATTTGAAGATGTTTATTACTTTTTATTTTTGTAGAAGAGTAAAAATGGCCTAAAAGATGAAAGAACTGTGGAGTCAGTAATACGTATAAAGATTATGTACCAGAATTTTGTGTATGTCTTAACAGATTAAAATTACACCATGCAGTACTGCATCTTTCATAAATCTGTGTGGATATTCATGCCTGTGTGCATGGACTAGAAAGGAGGGGAACAGATGAAACTGTTACATTTGTTACCATGCCAAACTGTAGATGATGGTCTAATAATTTGTTCACCTTAGCAAAAATGTATAGCCGAAAACTTAGAAATCTTTGGATAATTGGTGTTTATTTTTCTAAAGAAATTAAAATAGGCCAGAGTGAGTTTTATTATGACTAAGAATTATTTGAAACAAATGTTGATACAAGGGTACATTTCTGCTATTTCTCATTTCTTGTATTTTTAAAATCATTGTTAATACTTTTTAGCCTTGCTATACATCCTGACAAAATTAGGATCGCAACTGGACAGATAGCTGGAGTGGATAAAGATGGAAGGGTGAGCAGCACAGTTTTATGCATTCTATATCTAGTGATCTCACTGTCGGATGCAAATTGTTTTTGTTTTTGTTTTTTTTTTTTCTTAACTACAACTTATAATTCTTTTAAAATTTAACTACTGAAGGGTTTCTAGTATAAGAAGGGGAAAAATATATTAGAATGTAAGAATGTTTCAAAAGACAAGAGAATCGTATTACTAAAATACTTCTCTAAATACTAGGTAATCTCCATGTTATAAGTACTACTTACAAAAATAAGAGAACCAATACATCTTTGTTAGGTTTTTTTCATGATGCAGCATCTTACCACTGTTTGTTAGAGGTACTGCAGTTAACCTTAGTTGATAGGACCTCTTGATTTTATATATATGAAGAAGAGCTATCACTGAAAATGTTTATTGAATTGGTTTATATGATGGATCTCTAATTTCTAAGGTCAACAGTGAATACTGATGCACGTGTGTGACTATACTCATGATGTTCTCTGGGTTTAGTTTCTTTAAGGAAAAGGCATAGCTGAGAGACAGGTTTATAATAGATAGCTTTGAAGATTTTTCCAGTCCCATGTATTGAAGAAGTGTTTACTTAGCATCTTACTGGACAATGTTTTGGGGGGTTTTTTGAGTTATTTTTTCAGGAGTTAAGGTAATGCTAACAGCAAAATATTCACCCACTTGAACTCACAAGTTGGAGACCAGCCTAGGCAATATAGCAACACCCCAGCTCAAAACAAAACAAAAAGAAAAAGAAAAACAGGCAAAGTGTTCAGAGCACATTTGCCTGAATTAGAATTCTGACCCTCAGCTTTAGTAGCTATAATTAAATCAAGTTATTCAAATCTCTATTTTAGTTTCCTCATTTATTAAATGGTTGTTATAATACTGCTCATGGTTCATAAAAGTATGAGGATGAAATCATTTGATATTGCATGTGTGTGTGACAGAAAAGAGTATGTGAAACCCAGCAGATATTCAAATATTTTACTATTATGATTCTTGTTTATTCCCTTATATTCATGGTATGAGACAAAAAGATCCTATTCAGGATTTCGGGTTGCATGTCTAAATCCGCTCGTTAATTTCTTGCTAAACGTATAGCCATCCCTGTTGCCTTAAAGATGGCAGATGCTCATGTGGTGGTGCAATGCATTTGCACCATCTGGTTACCAGTTACTCCCGCTGCCTCATGTTTTTGCAGCTCCTACAGCCCCACGTCAGAGTGTGGGACTCTGTCAGCCTCTTCACACTGCAGATTATTGGACTTGGAACCTTTGAACGTGGAGTGGGATGTCTGGATTTTTCAAAAGCAGTAAGTAATTTTTAAAGAAGTAAGCCAGCTGATCAAAGAAGTTAATCTTGGTTTTCTGTGTGTGTCCATTAAAAAGTAAATGTTAGTTATTAATGTTAGCTGTTGCTAAATGGTTAGCATTTTCCCTTGGTACTAAATTTGCTTTAAATGGGATCAAGATATTAAACTTAGACTTTGTTATATCCTGAGACAGAATTCCAGTGTAGTAGGAGAAAATAGTTGGAGGATCATGTACAGCGTAGTACATGGTGAAATAACCAATATAATAGGGTATAACTTCAGTTTGAATTATAGATGTATTTTACTAAAATTCACACATTAAAAACATTAGCTGTTCTTGGTATCATATTGAAACAAAGGAAACCATTATATTCCCTAAAACCATGAATTACCTTGGTTTTGAACTGTCAGTGTGAATAAAATTTGTGTAGCAATCTCAACTAAAGCTTGCAGTTTTATTCTAAGGGGAAAAATACAGTAAGTCTAGATGATCATTTAAGCATTTTATTGTTAATTATATGTAACATAAAGTATTCAAGAGACATTTTAGGATTTGTGTTTTTAAATTTCAAATGTAAGTTTCAAACAGGGGGCCTGCCCCTTAGCTCAGTTCTTTAAGTGGCTGCTTCAACAAAGCAGTCAGGCTCAGGTTGCTGTGGTTTGATCCCCACAACTCAAGCCAACCAAACCTGCCCTGAAGGCATTCTGAGCCAGCCAGAAAAAAAAAAAGTTTCAAACATACTAGATTTTATTGGGCCTCAGTTATACATCAGAATTATTTATATATCTATAGTATATTTAGTTCTTAGCTGTCAGCAGCTATATTCTGAATTATGGCGGGTTTTTAGGATTTGGAAGAAAGGACAAATAAATTTGAGTGAATATAAGAATTTTGCTAGCTTGAAAATACTGAAGGTCAAGGGCCCAACAAAGTTAGGGGGAAAAAAAAACAAACAAAAAATTTACAAAAGAAAATGACAAAAACTGCTTTTACCCCCCCCCCCCCCCACACACACTATTGCTATAGCAGAAACTATTTTCATGTTGTTGGTACCATTCTCACAGTACTGAGTCTATCATGGGCTGCACATCCTCTGACTTCCCTAATACAGGAGGTCATTCAGTGATTAACCAAGAGAAAGAGAATCTCTGCTCTTCCTCAGTACTTCTGTCACAAGTGATACTAGAAAAATATGTTTAGTATCATCTATAGTTCTGTTTCTTAAATGGAGAAGCTTAAATTATGTGAATGAAAGTGATTCCAGGAAAACAAAAAAGGTTCAGTTGTTTTTATCTTACTTATTCATATTCATGTTATTGTGTGCCAAAATATCACAACTGAAATCAGCAAACGATTGTGCATATTTTGAGCCATGTCTTATATTGCATGCCCATAATCCCCACTTCTGGGAGACTGAGACAGGAGGATCACTGCAAGTTTGAGGCCAACATGGGCTACAAAGTGAGTTTAAGGCCAGCCTGAAGGACATAGCAAAACCCTGTCTCAAAAGAAAAAGTCACTCATATTTCTTCCAACCTTCATGGTGAGAAAACAACTTGAATATTTTCTCATAGCAAGAAGGAATCAAAAGATGCTGAGGAACTAAGTTATCTTCAAAATAATTAATTGCTAGTACTAATGAAAGTGACTATATGGCAAGTAGAGATCAACCAGGGGAGGGGGATAATATAGAAAAAAATGTTTTAAAGAATATGTATAATATTTCTGAAGAAAATGTAGTGTTAGTGACCAGTATACTCCTTATGTTTTGAAGAACAATGGGCTTACAAAAATTTAGATTGCCTTGTTATCATTACTTTTAATAATATGGTGTTGTCCTGTTTGGTCTGTCTCCCCCCACTCCCCCCATCAAACTCTGGACCTTGCGCTTGCCAGGAAGGCATTTGTGCCACTGAACCAAATCCCCAGCCTGGTGTTTCTTTCTTTAAAAGACAGCCTTAAAAATAAATTTAAAAATTAGATTTGTTTGTTTAAATAAAAGTGTTATATAACCAGGAATTATTGAATGCCTTTAATTTCCTTTTCTTTAGGACTCAGGTGTCCATTTATGTGTTATTGATGATTCCAATGAACATATGCTTACTGTGTGGGACTGGCAGAAAAAATCAAAAGGAGCAGAAATAAAGGTAAATCAAGGGCTGGGGATGTGGCTCAGTGGTAGAGCTCCTAACTCATGTGCACAAAGCCCTGGGTTTGATTCCCAGTACCACAAAAAAAAGTAAATCAAAACACTTTTAAAGGACTATTGTCTGTTACAGTACTTTTTATGCTTGTTGGCTATCTTTATGTAAATGTCTTCTACCACAAGTCAGATTTGACCTCTTCAATCTACTGATGTTAGCTTCATGGAGATTGACACTATGTTCTTCCTAACTGCCCAGATAGAATCTTAAGCATCATCTACGACTCCTTTTCCTTCAGTACTCATTCCACAAATGGCACCCCAAATGCCTGCGTTATAACTCCTTCCAGTAAGGTGACTGCAAAACTGAAGCTTACTTGACCAAAGTAAACAGTTGACTGATTCCTGTTTGGAGAGGAAAAGAAAGGAAAGATCGGTGTGTGTTGCCTTAGGAGTGAGTTGGCACGGGAGCTGGGTCACCAAACTGTCTCATCTCAGCTTCTCCTAGTCTGCTAACATTTTTTCCTTTTCTATTCTAAATGGGTTCTTTCCTTCTCTAAGAGGGAATGGTCACAAACATTTGGGAAACATAGGTGTCTTTATAATCTACTTGTTTAAAATTAAGACAATTTCAATGCCTTAGTGGCAGAAATTAAAGATCTAATAAATAGAGGGATGCTGCATAGTTGTAAAGAGAATGTATTGTAAAGGTGTCCCTTCCCTGAATATTGATCTGCGTGGCCAACATTTAAAAATCCCTGCATTCAATCTGGTTTTGTTTGTTTGCTTGTTTGTTTTCATGGGGCTGAGGTAGAAGTGTGGAAAGGAGGTGGCTGAGCTGCATGAGTTCTTACAGAAGTGATACACAGAATATGTTTGGAAATATAAAGTGTTAAACTTATATAGTCAAGATTCCAGTCCTGCGTGTCTCGCCAGCCCTGCCCCTGGGGCACGCTGAGCCTGTGACCGAGTCCAGGCATGGGGGCACATGCCTATAATCCCAGCACTGGGGAGGCTGAAAACAGGAGTATCACTGAGAGTCCAAGTTGTGTAGTGAGATTCTATATATGAAGAAAAAAAGAATTAAAAAAAATAAAATACGATTATTAGGAAAAAGAATAAATTTAGGTGACTTAAGCTATGAGATATCAGTATCTATTAATGTAATAGAGACACTGGTATAGGGCAGATGAACAGATCAGTGGAAGAGAATAGAGAAGCTAGAAATGGGGTACCCGAATTAGTCTTTTGGTTTATGCCAAAAGGGATATTGGAGTAGACAAAGACCAAGGTTTTCTTTTTTCTTTTTTTTTCTTTTCAAAGTTAAGACCAAGGTTTTCAATTCATTAATCAGATACCCATAAGGAAAAAAAGTACCTCAAACCTCATAGCATTTACAAAAACCAAGTTTAAACGGAGTGCAGATCTGAGGTTCAGAGATAAAAAAGTGAGACTTTTAGAAAAAATGCAGGAGGTTATCTTCATAAACAGATTTGTGACATGACATATAAAATACTATGAATGGGAAATAATTTATGTTAAGAACAGTGTTTCCAACAAAACACTGCTGTTCAGAATATATAAAGAACTCCTGTATTTTAGTAAGAAATAGTCTACTGACAAAAGTACTTCACAAAATAGGGAATCAGCAGATCAAAATTGGAGAAAAGGAAGGGCTACAGTGTCAGCCAACATTTTGGCCCTAGCCTTTCAAGGTCAATGAAGACTCCGGACATAGGAGAACCTGTACTATAACATCATGTAACTCAGCTGTGCTCCAAATTTTCTGATCAAGGAGATTATGGAGCCAAAAAGGAATGTGATTATGCTGTATAGTGTGCCTAAGGAGAGTCACATGGAGAGAAAACATTCTCTCAGGCTTTCACAGAGAGCAAATTGGTCAAGCAATGGCCGTAACTCATCCTCATGGCTGACACTGACAAAGGATCTACAAAGTGCGGTTCAGGGCTACAGGATAAATCCTGAGGGTACTTGACTGACCTTATCAGATACAAAAGTTACATTTCTTATTATGTAGGTCTTGCTTTATCTTGGTCTTAACCATCCAGCAGAAAAGTATAAAAACGAGGTATATAAAGTAAAGCCATATTAATATGATGAGCTGTAAAAGGCTCAAGTCAATAACTTCTGAGGATAACCCACTAATATTATAGACTGCTACACAGTGTTGGATTGTTTTGCTGAATTCAAACACCTATAGTATTTAGATGCCAATGGAATATCCACCTCTGACAGGACTAAAAAAAGGGGGGATACAAAGGAAAGATCATTTTGTATTTATATGTACAAAATAGTTAGGATAGATATACAGCTACTTTCGCTTAATTCAGTGAGAAGCAAGAGGTGTACTAATATTGTTTGGACAGGATATCCTGTCTGCTTCTTGTACTGTGGATAACCACTAAGAAGATAACAATGTACAATGTATTGATTATCAGAACTGTCCTATTAATCAGCTTTGAAGCTGTCTCATTCATATTTGTTTCTCAATAAAATTTAAAAAAACAAAATAGGGAATCAACATGATTAATAAAGCATATGAAAGATATTCAGCCTTATGCAAAAATGTCAATTAAATTTTTAAGTCTGCAGTAGGCTACTGTTGTGTCTCTACTGGGGTATCTTACATGGGAAAGATCTTTCATGTTTTGGCCAGCTCAGCCCACCCTGAAAGCAGGGCTGGCGTGCGTGTGGTGCCAAGGATTGAACCACAGTCCTCTGTACCTCCCTAAGCTTGCACTTCAGACTGCTGAGCTATCTTGCCAGCCCATGCGAGAAATTTTTTACAGAGCCCAAATTGGTGAGGCTGTAGAGTAACTGTAACTGTCTTACACTGCTGCTGGGCATAGAAGTGGGTACAGGCTTTTGGGAAAGTCTTCAGCATTATCTGTTCAAGTTGAACATACGCGTATCTGTGCACCCACTTGTTCCTCTCCTGGGTGTAAACCCAACAGAAATGTATACCTGTGTTTACAGAATGTAGTGCTGTTGATGATACCCCTGGAGGGGGTGGGGAACCAGAGCAGTTGCAGTGACACATACCTGTAATCCCAGTTGCTAGGGAGGTTGAGGTAGAAAGATTTCAAATTTAAGGCCAGTTTAACAAAAACCCATCTCAATTTTTTTTATTTTTATTTATTTATTTTTTTATTTTGATGGCTGACTGGATAGATAGCACACTTGCCTAGCTTGCATGAGGTTGTGGGTTCAGTCTGAGGGGAGGGCAAGGCTACCCTAGTACCAGTCAGCAGAAGAGTGACTAAAACTAAATAATGTGATCTTTTTTATGCAAAGAAATGCCATACAGCGATTAGAATGAACAAATTACAACTCCCTATACCCACGTGTCATAGATGTAATGAAAAAAAAGCCAGTCATGAAGGAGAACCATATAGATTGCGTTAAATACACCAACAAAGCTCTTTGTTGGCAGAAGTCATGATAATGGTTACTTGGGGGGGGGGTAACTGGCAAGGAGACCTGTATTGTTTCTGGAATATTAGTAATGTTCTGTCTCTGGCTTCAAGAAAGTGTATGTTGCCCTGGCATTTTGGTAGTTTGAATGTGCTTTTCCTGAATATGCAAGAAATTAAAATAATCTAAAGCTTTTTTTTTTGAGGGTTTTTCTTTTTCCTTATGTCTAATTAAACTTTATTAAATACCTATTCTGTTTTTTCTCTTCCAAGTGTTGATGTATTTCACTTTTTTAAAAAAAGCACCCTTGTTAATATTACCTGATTGTCATGAGGGAGTCTAACTGTTGGGAAGCTGTCAGACTCCTGGCAATAGATGCAAGTTTATTTCAGTAATGCAGCGTAAATCTAAAGCTTTTAAAGGGGCACAGTTTGCATTGTAGTTTACAGCAATGTTCTCGCCTAAGCCACCAGAGTGCTAGGATTATAGTGTGTTCTACCACACGGGCGTAAAGCTATAATGTAATTGTCTTCCAAGTACAACATTTTTATGAATAAATAACATTAAAATAGTATATGGACATCAAATTTAAATCTGTATTCTAAAATCTATTAAAGTTTTGCCTGTCATTGTCGGGTGCTACAGTTGACTCTTGATAGCAGTAAGAGCATACACTCACCTCTAGCTTTCTTGTTTCACAGACAACAAATGAAGTTGTTTTAGCTGTGGAGTTCCACCCGAAAGATGCAAATACCATAATAACGTGTGGTAAATCTCATATTTTTTTCTGGACTTGGAATTGCAATTCTCTAACAAGAAAACAGGGAATTTTTGGGGTAAGGATCAGAGTATTACAGCATTTTTAAATTGTTGAGCAAGCACACAGTCATCATGCCAAAAAGAATACTGAAGAATCTCACTTTTTTTCGCAGAAGTATGAAAAACCAAAATTCGTGCAGTGCTTAGCGTTCTTGGGGAATGGAGATGTCCTCACTGGAGACTCTGGTGGAGTCATCCTTATATGGAGCAAAACTACTGTGGAGCCCCCGCCTGGGAAAGGCCCTAAAGGTATGGTGTTCACTTCCTGACTGCGGGGAATGCCAGCGGAACGCTTTCGCAGCTCCCTCTTGTATTCATACCTGGAAAGGAGCTACACTGAACAGGAACGTCACCAACATAGCCTTGTTTTTATGGTTCTTCCTGATTTTATTTATTTGTTTGTTTGTTTGTTTGTTTGTTTTGGCGGAACCGGGGATTGAACTCAGATCCTTGCGTTTGCCAGTCAAGCGCTTATTCTACTGAGCCATCTCCCTGGCCCATCTGATCTTTTTTAAATGAAATTATTTATCTAGTTACCTATTAAGCATGTATAACCTAATCCGACTATATTTAAACCTCCCTCTAAATTGCCAATACAAAATAATTAGTGATATATTCCTAGTTATTTTTCTTACTGAGGAAAAAAATACCCAGCACCCAGAAGTTAAAGGAAAAAAGGTTTATTTCAGCTCAGTTTGTAGAGATTTCAGTTCATAGTCAGCTGACTCCAAAGCAGGGCAGCAGGGCAGCATGGCAGAAGGCTGTCAGAGCAGGGGAGTGGCAGGCAGAGGACAGCAGGCAGCAGGCCTGCCTGCCTTCTGTCCCTGCATGTTCCATCCAGGCAACGAGGCTGTTCATGGGAGCCACCCATACTCAGGATAGGGCCATTATCCACACCCTTAATCCTAGTGTCACACCCCCATCCGGCCTCCTGCAAAACTCCAGTTGTGACCACATGAGGTTAGTGGTGGGCGAGGGGGAGGACACCTAGATATAAGCCATGACACATGTAGATGTTAGTTTTTTCAATTTTTGGTTTTTTATTAGTATATGTTTGCAGTACATAATGATTACAATCCTCATGGGAAGTCAAACATGTGCAAAAGACATCCTGATTCTTTTTTTATCCCCTTCTCTCTCTGCCTACCCTCTCCACTTGGTCTCTTCCCTTTCACAAAAGGGCTGGTGCTGGGATATCTGTAGGAGAAAGTCAGGCCACATGGTAAGATGGGGTCTGAAAGAAAAAATATTTGAATAAACATATAGGGTTTTTTTTAGGGAAGGGTCTACAGGGTGTTCAGGGTCTCACTACTAGATCAGACTGGTAGTGATCCACCTGTTTACAGTCTCCTAAGAGCTGGGATTATATGCGTGTGCCACCACACCTGGTTTCAATTGCTGGCTCAGGGCACCCTGGGGGCGGGGCCAGTACCGCAGGTCTGGGTATCAAACCTCTGGCCCCTGTGCCTGCTTACAGGCGCTTTAATCCGCTGAGCTATTTGGCTGTGTCCTTTTTCTTACTATAAGCCCTCTTCCTATACCAAGTGGGGAGAGGGGGAAATGATGGGGAGCCAGCCTGGGAGTTCTGTGTATTTGCCTCTCCAAAAGCACATTCAGGCAGCTTTTTACCATCGTCTCTCTCCTGCTGTGCAGTCACTGCTACACCCTGAATTCCTCTGCTCGTAAAAAAGACTCAGTTTCCTTGTTGTCTGTCTGCTTCAATAAACTTGTCCAGGATAGCATATGGTTTGGCATTTTGTACTAAGGGCTAGAAAATAATTCATCAAGCTTTTTTCTTTTTCTTTTTCTTTTTTTTTGGGAGGGAGGTGCTGGCTCAGGCTGCCTTAAAGGCGGTTCTGGTAAGGCATGGTGAGCTGGGGAATGAACCACAGTGCCCTGTGCCTGCAAACCCAGTCAAGTACTTAAAACAACTGAGTTAAATTGCAAGCCTGCCCCCCAATCAAGCATTTTATTAAGGAAATTTATTTGTCAGTAAAAAGTTGAGTGGTATTGATTAAAAGCACTGTTTTCATGGAAATGTGGAATTAGCATGATTGTTTTATCATTGTTAGATATTGCTACTATATTTTTAAGAGCATATATAAGATTGTCTAATTGTTTTCCATGTCCATTCACCTAAATTTCTAACCTTGACATTTGGCATGAATCAGATAATACATGGGAGGCTTGGGTTTTTTGTTGTTTCTTAAATCCTTCACTGTACTACAATTGACTTTGATCTCAATTATGAGCTGTTTTTAACCTCTTTCAGTTTAGGTTCAAAATTCACATATGGGGAGAATTGTCAGGGTGTTGAGGGAGCTTTTAGTAAAAACAACACAATTATCACCCACCTTTCCCACTTATTTGTCTCTTCTCTTTCCTGTGAACATTTGCTCAGTATTAGAAATGCCAGGAACAGCGTAGTGCATCAGAACAGTAACTTTTAAATTGCTGGCATATCCTCTGACACTGAGAAGAGTTTGGCTATAAAGAGGCTCTTTGTTAACCTTAAGTGTTTGTATTGAGGTGGCATGCTGGGAGAGTGATTTGCAGGGTTTTAGTGTGAAAAACATGTAGATTAGCCTCTGTGTGTACAAATAGGAAGCAGGAAACCCTATCTTAAGGCTTGCTGCGCTGAGCGCATGTAATGGACTGGGTCCCTAACTGACCCACCTTGTGAAGGGCAGTGACTAAGGCATGTGGTTCACTTATGTTTGGGGTTTTCAATGGGCTTATTCTACTGAGCCATCTCCCCAGCCCTCATTTTTATTCCCGATGAAGCACTTGTTCTTTGGCTTCATTTTATTGTCTTACATTCCATCATCCTGGGAAGATCTTAAATGTTTAATAATGCTTTTGTAATTTTTTTACACTGATGCTTTCAGACTACTCTTCTTAGTTTGTCCATGTAAGGGAAAATAAACCTAATCATCCCCCCACAAATAGCCATATAACACCACCTGTCTATCCTCTCAGAAAAATTTTTTCTTTCAGATATGCTTTCTTCTTTGGGCACCACGGATCAGTGATAGTTATCCCATTGAACATATTGTACTGCTTAATGATTAAAGTATTTTTTAAGTGATGATGTGAGTAGAGGCATTTGACCTGAATAGCAAGTTTGTGGGAGTTCTGCTCCCATCCCTGCTAAACCAAGCAAGCTCTCCTCTAAATCAGTTAAGCCTTTTCTTCGGCCAAATATACCCAGATAGTAGGTACTTGTACCGCTAACATTTTCATGCTAAGATAGAGTAATTTTTACCATCAACCATAGCCGGTTTATTTTTAGGATACCCAGCTTTCTAACTTTCAGATTTGCTTTGCTTTGCTTATCTTTGTCTTTGAGACAGGATATTGCTGTGTAGTTCAGGCTGGCCATGAACTTACTGTGTAGCCCATGCTGGCCTCAAACTCATAGTGATCTACCTGCCTCAGCCTCTTGAGTGATGGGTTTAGAGGTGGGTGTCAAAAGTTAATATCAAATAGACAGGTTAAAAAGAAGAGTTTCAGCAGCTTCATTGAAATAACTCACATAAAATTCACCCATTTGAGGTATGTGATTCAGTAATTTGTAGCACATTCACGGAGTTTTACAGCCGCATTACTAGTCTAATTGTAGCACATTTTCATACCCTAAAAGAAACCTTGTGCATTAGTATTTCCCATGCTCCTCCATCCTCATCCTTTCAGCAGCTGCTAATCTAACTTCCATCTCAACAACAAGATACCAAATCCATAGCACAGATGCTGGCACAGTCATGTGGAGCCCGGCAGCCCCAGCCAGGGATTGATGAACTGTCAGCATGCATACAACAGCAAAGGTCACACTAATTTTGCAAAAACAGGGCAAATGCAGACTTTACACCTTTCAATAAAAAGCTATTTGTAGCATTGAAAGCTCTATTACTGTTTTTTTAAAGGAGTGATTTTGGGGCTGCAGTTTGGGGACTTCGTCTCTCAAAGGTTCGCTGTCACTGCTAGATTTACCTGTTCTGAACACTTCATAGAAATAGTCGTATAGCATGACTTTCTTGCAACTGCCACCTTGTAGCATGTTTTAAGGGTCCATTCATGTTGTGGCATATATTCAATACCTCATTCCTTTCAATGGCCTAGTATTCTATTTGCTAGACAACTCACATTTTGTTTATCCACTTATCAGCTGGTCAGGTTTTTTTTTTTTTTTTTTTGCAGAACCAGGGATTGAACTCAGGCACTTGCCAGGGAAGCACGTATTCCACTGAGACATTTCCCCAGCCCCTGGTCAGCTATTTTTGAAAAACATTTTTTTGTAATTTTTAAGGAATCATTTATGTATTTATTTGGCACTTTGGCCATATTTAATTCAGTCTCTACTTTTTTTGCTTTGAACCTGGTCACTAATTGTGGGTTTTTTTCATAATTTTATTGATAAACAGCAATGAGACAGTTTCAAATCAAATCGCTAGGACAGTTTCAATAATTAACACACTGCATACATTCTTCTTAGTGGTTAATTGCTGTACAAGATGC